ACTCAAAGTAAGGTGAAAAAAAGTTTTAAAAAACCAAAAAGATTGTCAAGTAGGAGGGCAATAGGGGTGGGTATTGGCAAAGAAGTCACGATTCGATTCGAATCACGATTCACATGCCACGATGCGATTCTATCACGATGCATCACGATACATGAAATATTGCGATGCATTGGGATATTTTCACTGAACTTTGTAAGAAAAAGATACAGTCCTTACCAGTGGCTGACTGGCTGTGTATGATCTGGATAGTGTCTTCAATTGATACATAACTGAAAGCAACTGAATTCATACATAGCTGTATTTATTGAAATTACTTTTGGAGGTGTTGTCATGAAAACAAATACTGGACAGAAATATTACTATTACTGGCGTGGACACACTAACAAAAAGATCTTAGGATTCATCAAACTTAAAATAACAAAATGAGGATAATCAGTGCCATTTACATGGCCTCAGTGGTCTTTTAAACCAATTAAATGAAAACATTCAAATGTAAGACATTTCCCCTTTTGGAAATTACGTGCGTCATATCAATTTCGTTTTTACCTTCTTTGTTTTTAAAGCCAAAATGCATCCAAGCATCTGACTTGAAATGTGATGGAGCTGGGGGGCGAATTTTCTCAGTCTCCTCCATATTTTGTTTATGAATGACTCTTCTCAGTATCCCAAGGCCGGACATGCTTGCAACACAAAGCAGCAGGCGTCAACACATCCGCAGCGACATCTGCTGGACTGGAAGTTGTATTCCACTTGGTTTGATTGATGTGCGCCAACCATTAATGTATTTTATTTGTTAATTTTTTTTATTTTTTATAATCGATTCTTGCCTTCAAGAATCGATTCAGTAGATCACAAAAATTAGAATCACGATTCATCGATTTGACGATTATTTTGCACACCCTTAGAGGGCAAGCTAGGAGAATGAGCAGAAGAGTGCTGCAAATCTGTGTTTTGGCCACAGGAGGCAGTATCAGTAGAAAACTATCATGCCTCTTTAACAATTTAAATTAATTTAGAAATCAGAAAGTTTTGGGCAAACTTTCTAAAAACAGGCAGAGGCCATTGTAGTAGTGGGATCTGTGCTAATTGTCTCAATAAGGGTCTAAAAAGGTTCAACCTGTCTTTGTCTGTTTTTTTCTAATATAACTGAGGACTGCTCAGAACACAAAGAATAAAAAAATAAATAAAACACTTTGAATAATAATTTTATGTCTGTATAAAACACAACTCCAAAAAAAAAAAAGAGAGAGAATTTAACATGCATTAAAGGTACACTATGCAACCGGTGTTGATTTTCCAGCGAGGCTCCCCCCAGAGGGCGAAAGTAAAAGTGCACTGTCGTAAATATGCTCAGCTGTTCTCCTGGTTTCTCCGTCAAGCCAGGCGCGGTTGTTTTGAGCTTAGCAGACAGGCAAACGGAACGAATGACTAATGCTGCGTTCACACCGCAGCTGGCGCGACCGAAGCAGCGAGTTTACATGCAAAGTCAATGGTTGACGCGCGTCAAGGCGCAGCAAAAGGTCCCACGGCGCGTTTTGAGCAGCAGACGCAGCGCGTCTGAGCAGCTGATGCTCCGTTCAGACCGGACGGCCAGCTGCCCCCGGTGTGAACGCAGCATGAAGCAGCGCGTCGGGCGCGTTTAATCATCTGACGCAGGGAGAGAGACACAGCGCTGATGATCAGAGGCTACGATCACTTCTCTTAAACAGTTTATTGACGCCTAAATTGACTTAAAATGCAGAAATCTGCCGGCAGAATATGCAGTTTGGATTATTTAGATGAAAAACACCTACCAGCTGCTGAGGCTGCTGATGAAGGAATTCCTACTGTCGGCGCACCGCTGGTATGTGGGGGTCTGAGCGGCTCCGACAGAAAAAATATTGAAGGCAGGATGATAATCTGAATGAACTGACGGCACTGATTACGTTTTCAGGTGTATTTTCTCACTTAAACACATATTAAAACTACTTTATTCCCACTGATCACAGCAAATATAGCTGCAAGGCAGAGAAAGGATAGTGAAGCTCCGCCCAACGCGCGTCAGACACACTTTTGCACCGCGCAGCCAGAGCAGCAAAGCTGCTTCAGCCGCGCGTCAGAACTAACTGGTACAAGCAGCAAAAATGAAGCAGCAGACGTGATTTTGCTGCTTTTGCTGCGTGAACGTAGCATAACTGCACAAAGATCGCCACTGTGCTAGCAACGAGAATGCTTTTAACTGGGGGCGTGTAGCAGTTCTCGCCGTAAAGCAAGACTGACTCTCGTGAGACTTCTGAGCCTCTGGGTGCGGGTCGGTGCTCCTGCAATTGCAAGTGCGGTATTTCCCCCACAGACCACCAGGGCGGCCGAGAATATCTTTGTTCAACCTGAAATGATTCATTTAGTCATCCAAAATGATATGGAACACATTAATCAACTGAAAAATGTTGCAAAGTGTGCCTTTAAGTTAATCTTCTTGATTATTGATCTGGGGTATGCTCCCGATACAATTACTCAGCTTTGTTTTGACCGATATCAGCATGAATCCCGCACATATTTATTGCCTATTTTATAGTGTGGAATGATAGAAAAGGTTTGATCAAGAGATATTTCTTAAACAGAGAACAATTCTTAACATCAGGTTTGAGAACAACTGACCTATTCCTTAGTAAGCAAAGAGCTTAATAAACTTCAAACAAAACTGGACTATGAGCTGCCTAATATTAGAGGCAGGTCAATACATTCCTATATTCATTTTTTGGCTCAGATATCAGACCAATTTCTGATATTATTATCAGATAGGGACGTGCCTAATATGGGGTCTTATTTATAGAAATGGGTTCTAAAACTTGGTATGCAACATGTATTACGCTTTAAAAAAAATAGCATGAAAATGTAACACAAACTGTAAACTATGTGAACGAGTCACTCGGATCTTTTGAGGCAGGAGAATCGGGCAACATGGATGGGTATATGGGGTCACTAAGGCTAGGTTCAGCCTTGATGCTCACTTCCGATTTTTTTGTGAAATCCGATTTCTTTGCGTTGTTGTTCACATTTCCAAATATATGCGACTTGTATGTGATCTCCTGTGTGAATTGCAGTCATACAACCTCATTGTTCCGCATGCGCAGTAGAGGACGCAATGACGTCACAAGCAAGCGTGCTCTGTGTTTACGGAAGTAAACATGGATGGTAGTGCTCGAGAACATCTAGCGACCTTTCCCAACCTAGAAAACTCAATCTTTCCAAGATGGTTAAACATAAATACTGCTCTCTGCATTATCGTCCACCATTGTTGTTGTTTTTCTTGCCACTTCTGCGAAGCAAGATGCAGAAAATTAACCACTGTCGGCTATTGATGACATTTAGGTCGGATGGATGTTATCTGGCCGTTTAGACTGGGGTCGCATTTAAAAAGATCAGATTCGAATCGGATTCAGGACCACAGAGCCAAGCGGCCTGGGTCGCATTGGAAAAAATCAGATGTGTTGTTCAGACTGCCATGAAAAGATCAGATCAAGGTCACATATGGGCCAAAACATCTCATTTGGGTCACTTCAGGCTGCGGTGTGAATGTAACCTAAGATGACTGACTTATAATTAGGGCTGCAACTAGCAATTATTTTGCAAATCGATTAATCTGTGGATTATTTTTTCAATTAACCGATTAATAATCGGATAGCCAAAGGTTCTTTTAAGAACTTTTACTAAATTAAAAAAGGTAAAACTCAAACTTTTCAGAATCTTTATTTAATCTTAAAAGCAAAATGTTTATATATTTTTCTACAATTTACGTATAATTACTGCTTTAAGTAGATTGCTCTGTCAGCTAAAAGCACGTTTTAGAGTCTCTATAATCCAGTTAACGACTACTATATTAGTTGACGACTATTTCAATAATCAATTAATCGCTATTAATTCTTTCAGCTCTACTTATAGGTTTATACTTCTGCAAACACACGCATCAAATGTCGCTTGGGTCTGGTCGTGAACCAGTTTTCCTGGTATGCTTCTGCACCGTCGGTCTGGAATTTCTAGGGTCGCACAGCCGTTTGCCGCCAAAGCGCAAGGGGGAGCCTATTAAAGAACCCGCAAGAACTTCAGCGAATGTTCACGAGAACTTCGATGGTGCCAGCGGGAGTGTTTATCTTCCAAAACAACAATGGTGCGTCTGCAAGATATCATGGTTAGGGAGAGGGATCTAGAGTTGCTAGACATCGCAGAGGATATATTTATTTATATAATTTGTCTGAGACGTCGTACAAGTGGTTGTACTCCCGAAACTCCTCGATTATCCTTTCGTCGTAGCTGTCCATTGCTCCTCGGTTTTTAAAAAAAGGCGCCCCGGCACTGAATCGAGAAGGACGAACAGACAGCCGGAAAGGCATACCAAGGACCAATCCCAGCTGCTTTTTATCTGCGCACTTCCGCTTGAGGTCTGTGCGGGTTTGCGACTGTCCGACGCGAAGTCAGGATTTTTTTTAGGTGCACCACGACGGTTGCAAAACCTCTGTGCGGGGGGCGTGATCACGCACAGGGACAGATTTGAAGGATGCAGAGGCTATGTTTCAGAAGCATAAATTGGCCTTTACACTCTCAGAACATTGCACTGCTAGATGTTTTCAACTGTGTCCAGAATTGGAGAAACGGCAGACCCACACCACCCTAGTTCATCACAGGGTTAAACAGGAGGTCAGCAAACACATCTGGGAGCACGGTTCTAAAGGAACAAGATTAAACATAAATAACCAGTACTTCATGATTCATTTAAGATTTAAAATATATTTATAAACTATCAGTATACATAAATGTAAAACGATTTCTGCTTCATGCTGTAGGCAGCTCATTACACATCCAAGATGATCTAACTATCTACTGCATACAGATTAGGAAACATCTAAATATAATAAGATCCAGCTCACTAGAACCTCTGCTTATTAAACAGATTTGTTGTCTGCTGTTTTACATACTAATTTACATACAGCAGGAGGTGGATGAGGGAGACTGTGTGGTCATACCCAGGTTATGCCTTTTGCTCTTGGCGTGTTCATGGATGTGTTTTTTGGAGAAGCAGGCAAAGAAGACACAGTAGAGGCAGGAGTGGAGTCTGTTGAGGTGGGCTCCGCACATGTGACAGATGCATGACTTGGCCTGCAAAAGTAGAAAGAGGTGAGTTTGGGACAGAAAAGGCAGTGGGTAGGATATTCGACAAAACTATCACCAAAGCTGACAGCAGCACATCATGTAGGGTAAAAAACATAACAATAAAAGAGCAAAGTTGCAGCTATAATATGCTCATCCTAAATACTAAACTTGAAAAATGTGAAGAATTGATTCAAAATGTTGGTTTTCTAAAGAAAATTTGCCCAAAAAACATCAGAACTTTACATTCAAACTGCAAATAAAAGATCCTCTGTGCCAAAAAGCGAGGGAGGGAGATGTGAGGCGTGTATGGAGCGTAGATTGCAGCAGTTCAAAAGCATGCAGATGATATGCTGGCATGAATATCAGAAGAAATGCATAATGCTGGGAAAAAAAGAAGGGAGGGAAGAATAAGAGGAACACAGATGGAGGAGGGGAAGGCGAGCATGGAGAAGGTGAAATGTAAGCCTTTGTGCATTGATAAAGTGAAAGCTGCTGGAAGAGATGCATGCGAACGAGGCTGCAGAAATAGAGTATTATGAACAAAAAAAAAAAGAATGCTGTATGTGGTGTCAAAATAGGCTTCAAAATGCAAAGACTGAAAAAAACTAAATCCTCTGGAAAACCCCAGAGTGGAAAAAAAACGTGTTTAATTTGAAAAGTGGGTCATGGGAAACTGAGGCTCACCGATGCATGTGGGAACTGAAGGGTTTGCTGCGTGTTCTGTGGTCGAACATTGGGAAAATATATTAAAGGCATGAGGATGTTTTCACACATCATTAGGCGGACGGACAAACACGGATGGAGAAGTGTTGCCTGGTCAGAGGACGGGGTCTGCATTATAAACCTGCCTTGTGTTGCGCTAAAATATTTCTCCTACCTAAAACCCTCTGTCTCAACATATTACATGACTTCCATGTTTTTTTTTTTGTTTTTTTTTATGGGATTATAGTGGTGAACAAGCTTTTTTTTTAAAAGAACATGACCAAAACAATCCATGTGTCTTAAATGCAGAAAACTGTGTGGTGGTAGCATCGTGCTATAGGGGGGATTTCTCTGACAGGGACAGAGAAGGAGGTTTGAGGGATACGTGGAGATGAGTATGGATCTAGAAACACGATGAGAGACGACAAAGGAGTGAAAACTGGAGAGGAGGGTTAAAAAAAGGAAAGCTGAATATTTCAATATTTTACATCCTTTAAATGATGCAAACGACTGCATTATTTGCAGGATTCTGCCTTTAAGCATCTGAAACTGCAGACAATCAGAGACTGAAAACGCCTGGTTTGGCTCTACTGGCTCCACTCTGAACTTTTTTGTGACCATTTTGGGACCAAGAAATGGAAACCACAGAGTCTAACAATGAGATGCAGGCTTCCCAGAGCATCACCAGCAGACTTAAACAACCTGCAGGTTTCCTGTTTCGGTCAAAGTTCTCCATCAGCACCAAATCCTGAAGCTGACGTTCATACACACATTGCTTCCAGTGTGCTTCATAAAACCACTTAGAAAAGATGAGTTGGCAATGATGTCCGCCTGCAAAAAAGCTGGTAGACACCAAAATACCTTTAGGGTGGAACTTGATGGAAAGCTTTCTGTTCTGTTTAATTATCTTATTCTATTTTTTTTTTACAAAGTAATTATGGAGTATTTTTGTGTTTTTATTAAATTCAAGAAAAAGTCATCTGAAAGCAGAAAATAATTTCGAAAGTGGGATCAATATACCAGCATATAAAAAAACAAGTTTTCACGCTGATAGCAAAAAAACTGATGCTATTTGAGACTGACAAAAAAGCTTTGAGAAAATATTTTCTCATTTAATAAAAGATAAACTGACATTTGGAAAATGATTACCAGGAAATATCAAATTAAATATATATATATATATATTTTTTTTTTTTTACTCTCAAACATTGCTTTGAAAAACATTTCTCTCTCAAATGTTTTTCCTCTCTCTCTCAAAACCACCAATCAGCTGTCAGTTCTGTTGAGACTGACCAATAGGAGCACAGGCCCGCTGTTCTGTCAGATGAGCAAACCCAAAGTCAATACCCCTTTATCCCTGCAGTTTATCCCAATTTTTCCCCTTAGTTTATCCCCTTAGTTTTGTACCAAAAATACAGTTTAAACCACCTAAATGGGCGTGTATCCCTTTAGTCATGTACGAGAAAAAAACATTTAATTACTTAGTTTTTGGTGTTTTTTGAAGCGTATTGTGATCTGACCTTAAATTAGTGTTGCGCCGATGCCATTTTTTGTCCCAGATACCGATACCTTGCTGCGCAGTATTGGCCAATACCGATGCCATACCAATACCATCTGTTTGAAATTGATGTGTATGAAGAACTGCATACTAGTTGGATGTAACATAAATGCCATCATGGGTTTGTCAAGCTGCTGCCTACCTTTGTGAAGCAGGAAAAAGACTAATACAAAGTGAATCCAGTAGAACTTTTTATTGCCTACCAGGAATGGGTGACAATAGTTGAATAAACTTTTGGCTCTCAAAATGGTATCGGTGCCCTATTTGTTGGTGCTCGCCAACACCACCATTGTAGAGCTGGGCCCCGTCCGATAATGGTATCAGTGAAACACTAGCTTAAATTTTATTTTTATTTTTTGTACACAACTAAAGGGATACAACCCAGTTGAGGTAGTTTAAAGTATATTTTTTGTACAAAACTTAATGGATGAACGTAAATCTGACATCTTGCACATGCTTATTTATTATGGGTATGCTGGTCTGATGGGGTATGCTCATCTGACAGAACACCGCCCATTTCACATTTTTCACATGAGAGAAAAATACGGAATCAGCAAAGACTTAGGTCTGAGATTTTTTTCCTCTTTAATATATGCATTTTACTTTTTAAATTATTTCACCCTTTAAGGCAGTGGTTCCCAAAGTGTGGGGCGCGCCCCCTTATAGGGGGGCGCAATGCCATTGCAGGGGGGCCGCGGGAAGCGGTATGGATGAATGAAGAAAAAAAAAAAAAAAAAGAAAAAAAACAGCGCTTGCTTGACTGAGCATAATGAACAGTTGTGACACTGCAACCCAGATTTGAGAAGATCTACAGCAAAAAGCAGGCTCACTACAGCCGCTGAATGAGATGGGAGGATTAAAGTACAAAGAAAAAACTCTCAGGGAGCTGTTCAATGTTTTCACTCCATTTTGCACAGAGGCTTTTTAATGTATAGATTATAGCAAAGTTAAATATTGTTACAAATAAAAAAAAAAGAAATGTTTAAAATAACACAGACAACAAAGAATCCTCTTCTAATCTACATTATAGAACTATGAAAAAAATACAGTTGTTCCACTGTAAAGATGGTGTATAGTTTATTTTGTTGCAACCTGAAGTGTGAAATAAACTTCAGTGGAGTTGTGCGTGGAAATTTTATTGTAATCCAAAGGGGGGCCCAGAAGAAAATCTTTGGGAACCACTGCTTTAAGGTAATTATTTTCTTGAGTTTAATAAAAATACAAAAATAACTCCATTATTGACTCAGAGTGGCCCACAGGACAATACTGCCACCACCGGTAATATCTAAAGACTTTCCATGTAGTCCTATCATACGAGTATTAGGGCCAGGGTAGAGATTTTTTTTTTTTGTTGCTTCTATTACGAGAATAAAGTCATAACATTACGAGAATAAAGTTGTAAAATTACAAGAATGAAGCCATCATACCACAACCCTTTTCTGAAAGAGCTTCGAGCTACAGCAGCAGATGATGGCGAACCCGAGTCCACTTTGACATCCTGCCCAATTTGATGGCAGTGCTAAAAGATTTCCTTATTTGTCAAACCAGAACCAAAGTATAACTTCACATGATGCTCGACGTTCCTCATTTTAGGGAAGAAAGTGCTTCTTGGAAAAGTTGTAAAATGCAACTTTATTCTTGTAATTTTAGGACTTTATCCTCTTAATACTACGACTTTATTCTCCTAATTTTTATGAATATTCTCGTGACTTTTTTTCTCGTTATATTAGGACTTTATTCTCATAATGTTACGGCTTTATACTAATATTTGTTACGTCTTTAATAATGTTATGACTTTATTCTCGTAATGTTACGGCTTTGATAATGTTACGGCAATATTCTAGTTATGTTATGATTTTATTCCAGTAATTTTGCGACTTTATTCTCGTTATGTTACGACTTTATTCTAATAATGTTACTATATTTTTGTAATGTTGCGACTTTATACCATGTTATGACTTTAATTTCTATTTTTGTAATGTTACGACTATATTCTCCTAATGTTATGACGATATTCTCGTAATGTTACGACTATATTCTTGTAATGTTACGACTATATTCTTGTAATGTTACGACTTTATACTAATATTACAACTATATTCTCCTAATGTTACGACATTATACTAATAATGTTACGACTTTATAGTAATGTTACGACTTTGTTCTATATTCTTGTAATGTTACGACTTTATACTAACGTTAACTTAATGCTAGTAATGTTACAACTTTTTACTAATGTTAAGACTGTTCTATATTCTCATAATGTTGCTTTATACTAATATTACATTATTCTAATAATGTTACGACTATATTCTCATGTTTCGACATTATACTAATAATGTTACGACTTTGTTCTATATTCTTGTAGTGTTACGACTATATTCTCGTAATGTTACGACTATATTCTTGTAATGTTACGACTTTATACTAATATTACAACTATATTCTCCTAATGTTACGACTATATTCTCATGATGTTACGACATTATACTAATAATGTTACGACTTTATAGTAATGTTACGACTTTGTTCTATATTCTTGTAATGTTACGACTTTATACTAATGTTAACTTAATGCTAATAATGTTACGACTTTATACTAATGTTAAGACTATTCTATATTCTCATAATGTTACTTTATACTAATATTACATTATTCTAATAATGTTACGACTATATTCTCATGTTTCGACATTATACTAATAATGTTACGACTTTGTTCTATATTCTTGTAGTGTTACGACTATATTCTCGTAATGTTACGACTATATTCTCATAATGTTACGTCATTATACTACTAATGTTACGACTTTGTTCTATGTTCTCATAATGTTACGACTTTATACTAATGTTACAACTTTATGCTTATAATGTTACGACTTTATACTAATGTTACGACTTTATTCTTATAGTGTTACGACTATACTAATGTTACGACTTTATTCCTATAATGTTACGACTATATTCTGTCAATGTTACGGTAATTTTAAGACTTTATTCTCGAAATAGAAGAAAAAAACCTCGAGCCTGGCCCAAATACTCTGCCGTGTATCAGAGTAAAGCAGAGCAATGATTTTTTTCTGCATTTCTTGACAGTAAGAAATGCGGGGGGGGGGGGGGGGGGGGGGGGCTCCTGTCAGTGCCAGCCTCCTCATAGTGGAGCAGCAGAGGCTGAGTATTGGTGTAATGTAATCCCCACATACAGTCTGAACAATAACAGTGTTTGAGGGATTCATCAATAGAAATGCAAATGTAGAAAAGCTGCAAACAGACAGAACCAGCCGCACTGTAGTGAGGCCGGTTCTACAGTGAAACATCTACAAAGTGTAGCAGAAACTAGACCGATTCTGAACCCCTGCCGATCAGAAATGTTTTAAACTTTGATTCCAGCGGATGATGAGTTATTCATTGCAGAGGAAAGGGGGGAGGGTCATTTGTTTATTTTATTCAAATCCCACAGAGGAGGAAATGCTGCTGCTGGTGGAAGGAAGCGGAGCCTCAGCAGATAGATGCACAGCAGCTCTGATCTAGTGCTTTAGGTTCTAACTGTGATGGGAGCTGATCTCTAAAGTGACACAATCTGATAGTTTGCTTTAGTTTGAGCTATACTTGATGTCGAAAAATAAAAACACTGAAGGTTTTTTTAATGTATGTATCTGAAAGCGGGTTTCTGGCTTTAGATGCGTCTGCCTTGGAAGGGCGGGGAACTCTTAACGTTCAATAGAAAAGACGAAAAAAAAACAGGTTGTGTCGCCCAGTAGGACACTTGTCTCCCCTCCACTTGTTACCTTGCGTTTTCTGGTCTCAGCTGAACCGCTCCACACGAAGCACTGATAAATAAGCCTCAGGTTCTGCTTCCAGTTGTCCACTTTGAAGCTGTTCACATGAGGGCAGCCTGCGGGACTCATGGCAGTCACAGCATCCGGCTTTCCGCCTACTCCGAGCGACGAACCTGTTCACAAGCCGCCCCCCGCCACCCCGGTCCGAACGGGTTTTTTTCTCCTCCTCCAGCTAGCTCGCCAGCTTCGTTTATCCAACGGCTGCTGCGTTCAGGCTAACTGGCCATGTCCCGGTGGCAGGAGCTGATGCACACGCAACAGCAAACATGGAGGCAAATGTTTACACTGCGGTCTGTTTGCAGGTTATCATGGACGCGCTTAAAGCAGGGCTACGCAACACATGAGGCTCTTCTAATTCGTCCAATTATATGTTAGCAGGCTGGCTAAAGTTGGTTAGCACTGGAATTTCAACACGGCGACAGTCGTCAGGAGTAGACCCTCAGCCGTGGAGCTAAACCAATCAGAGTCGCGCTCTCAACGTGATTGGCGTGTGCCAATATTCGGGGCTTTTTTTTTCTTACAAAATCCCGCCTCTACACAATGAGAGCTGCCTTGTGATTGGTCGGCCTGAACCACATCCGCTTGCTGAGAGATGCTCACTGGATTCACTCCTTTTAACAGTCAACTGGATCTTGGTCAAAATGAGGCGGCGTGGGAGGAGTTAGTGTGTTTTTAACTATAAAATACTACACTTAACTATTGATTATTATTAAAACGGTTGCTAGATGGGACACTTGAGAATAAAGGGAAGAAATTACAATATAGGAAGAAAAATGGAGCAAGGACAGAGATGGGGCACAGGAGGAAGGAAGGAGATGGAAAAGAAGGGAAATTTGCAAGTGGAAAAGAAAAATGATAAAGGAGGAAAAGAAAAAGAATAGGAGGCAAGGATGAAAGGAAAGAAGGGGGACACATGCGGAAAAAGAAAGATGAAGAAATTATAAACATATAAAACCTTGAGACAAAGGGATAAGGAATAAAGACTCAATTTTTTTTCATACCCATAGAAATTAATTTGATTGACTAATGTTAGCTCCACTAGTTTAGACTCACTGACTTATCTAAATTGTGGATTTTCCCAACAACTGAACAGCTGTAATGTTTTTCTTAGACGTCTGCCACTTCTCACATCAAGGTCACGTCTAGGCTGATGAACCCCAACAAATGATCTTTGAATCCCTCCTGTTCAAGCACACAAATTGCCACGCCGGGTGACAAATGGTGCACACCCGATGAGACAGCTTCAAAGCAATAACTGAGATTACGATCATTTTAGAAATGATGGAAAGTAAAGCAGAGTGTGCAGAAGAAGTTACTGAGACCTGTATCCTTAAACAATTTATTAACAGATCCACAATCGCAATGCTAAAGCTCCCGATTGACAAGACAGTTTGGTTTTATCTGACTTCAAGCTCTCAAAAACAGATTCTTGTGCAGTGCTCTAGCGACATCTAGTGGATCTGACCTAAAAACCAAAACCAAAACAGTGCACCAGATTGTGTTCGACTTCTCCACAGCGGCGAGCTCCGTGGAGGGCAAGTCCGTGTGTACAGCTTTGCATTTGATATCTACAATCTAACCAAGGAGTGAGAAGAAAACCATCAGCACCATCTTTACAAAGGTGGAATATAATCATATTTATTCCTCGTCAGCCATTGATGTTTCGCTTCATATGCAATGCCCTCCGGTTACGGCCATCATGCAGAAAAACCAAAACAAACAGTGAGATTATTCACACAAGGTTGGAACAGATAAGTCCAGTTTTTATTGTGGTTTCTGTCGCCGTAGCTGTGGCGCTCCTGAATATCGATAAATAAAACACTGACAAAAGTTTTATTTTTTTTTCTCTTTTCTCTAAGGATCTTTTTTTTATCCCCAAGACACGGTGAAGTAAGAATAATCAAATTCGTCATCATTTCATATAACTAGGTTTTCCTTGACCAAAGTTCATATGCGACAGAATGCTTGCTTTTCCTTTTTTTTAAAATCCAACTCATCCTGGGAAGAACGTGTTGGGGTGGCTGTGGCGTTCTGGCCCCCTCATGAATAACTTGATGTTTTGCTACCAACGTCATCGTCCTGCGATCCCATACTCTACAGAAAAAAAGACAAAGAAGATTTACGATCAGAAATGTTTAATTTAAACCTTGAGACAAGAGAAGTCATCATTTTGTTCTTGGCGACTTTTTTTTCAGGATTGTTTAAAAGAAATTAATGACACTTCAAACTTAAAATAAAAATAAAAGGCTTTTTTGTTGCTCTGGCAGAATAATCAATGGACGTAAGTTCATTTGAGACTTGGCTTTATCTGCAGCTCTTAAAGGTCAGAACAACCTTTTCATTAGAAGTGAAGTGGTGCAGACTGAAAGTATTAATCTTACCTAAAAATAGTATTTACATAATATATTTTATACATTTTGGCAGGTCCAAAATATGTAGTTCAATATATATATAATAATATATATGCCTGTTCAAATTCTCAGTCATCCGGGTCACGGCAACAACAACAAAATGTGCTTAAATCGGAGGAAACCGGACTTTTGCTCAGTTTTTCTGAAATGTTTCAGCACATATACAGGAGGCTTTGTCAGTTCTGTCGGATCGATCCAGACCAACCTGTAGTTGTAGTGCTGACATTTTTAAGCAGCATGGATGTCCATCCACCGAAGAGCATTCCATCAGATACAAATCCATGACCTACCCTTCATTCTCTTGTTTCAATCTGTCATGTACGGGTTTTGTGTTTGGCCATTTGAATCATGATAAGTGTTCTTGTCTAACCTCTTTGGAGTGAGTTCCTAGCCTCATGAGACCATCCTGATTTCGCGAGCTTTCAAGGTTTCACTCGCAGATCAGTCTGGCTACTTTCCGTTAAAGAAAATTTGGAGCCGTTCACCAAACGAACGTCCAATCAGCATTGGCTTTGAGGCAGGTTGAGGTGTGACGCAACGAGAAGCGCGACAGTTCAGTCTAAAGAACAGGGCGGCTTCAGCCGATGAAACTAGCGTTAGCGTGGCTATCGAGCAAGTTTTATCGGAATTACAGAGTATTTCTTTACTGAAAGAAGAGGAAAACACTGCTCTGGAGGCTTTTCTCAGAGGAAAAGATGTTTTTGCTCTTCTCCCGACTGGTTTCGGCAAGAGTTTGATCTATCAATTGGCTTGTGCCTGGCTTGTGGTTGTGTTTTCGTAGTTGCTCTGTTAGAACGTCATATGCTTCGTTGATCTGATCGGTTTATTTGGCCCGTCTATCACCAACATAGGCCAATCAGCTAACCAGTATTTTCGCCCCTTCCCAAAATTACTTCAACTGAAGGTTTCCAGATGGATATGCGGAGCAAATCCAGCAAATCCATCTGGCGGAGTCAGGTTAGTGAGTTCCAGGAATGAGCTTTAAATGCTTGGAAACTGAAACTTCAATCCTCCTCTTTTCAGTGACTGCTTTGGTCTTTTAACAAAGATGGCTTCCTGCTCCCTTAGACAATCTTCCCAGGATCTGAACACTTTGGTCATCAAAAGTGTCCTTTGTTCTCAAAGTGCTTTTTTAGCCGAATCCTTCTAGGAGCTGCTGGTTCTTTGCTGCTCCATCCGTTTGTATAGTTGGTATTTATTCTCTCCAATGTAGGAGTCCAAGCTGCATTGCACCACATAAACAACGCCAATCAGCTTTGGTTTGGCTTTGTAGAAAGAAAGAAAGAAAGCTCTAAAACCACAGGTGGCTGCTGTGTGAACAAACAGACACACTCCTGGATTGGTGTCAATACATATTCAGAGAAACTGAGCGGAAGTTCCATTGTTTCAACTTAAAACCAAAAATGGTCCAAATATTTATTTCCGATTTAAATGATTGTGTTGAGAGGAAAGGATTCTGCACTAATAGGAATAGTAATCATAGTAACAGAGGTAAGAGACTGTTTCTTCTAGATGTTGCATTTCTCAGATTTAAGCAAACAAAAAACAAGACTGAACAAGTTTTTAAGTGCTGGTACCAACATGAAGAAGCCAAGTAAAGGTTGTTAGTTATTCACCAAAAGTAATCTTAATGGTATTGCATTGAAAGACATGATAATCATCAGGATTAAAGGAAATAAAAAGGTGAAATATTTCACTCTTTGTGTGATAAATATCTATAAAAAGCCATTTGCTTTTTTAATTAAACCTTTACACAATATTCTAATTGTTTTAGATGTAAAATTCGTACTCTAGAGATTTTCATCAAACTACCAATATTTTTAGTTCCAGACATTAACAGGCTGATGATTTATTTAGCCTTCCTGGTGTGTGCTCAGAATTTTGCTCTTTTTCAGCCTGAATGGACCACAGATAAGAGTCAACATGTCGTAGGACAATTTCCCATTTAATATCTACTTAGTTTTTGTTCCCCTGACTTATTGAGGCTGAGGTAAAGTGGGTTTTAATATGTATGAATTTCATGGTTTAAAGGCTTTCTCAGTGCATTTTTACCTTTCACCAAGCTTTCTGCAGTGCAGTAATTTTAGGTGGATAATGGGAAAGAGGATATCAGAAAACTTAATGTAAACCTCACAGGATATCACAGCTTTCCTTCAAAAGATGAGCGTTTTTTTCTTATTGCTTCCGTTCGGCGATAAATCAGAATATAAGTAGATGAAGAAATTTAAAACTCAGACAGGAATGACTGGTAATGATGAAGAAGCTCAAAGACCTGCTTCCTTGTTTTGAACTGCAGTGCTGGTTTATGCTGATCTAAGACACTGGCAGAGGGTTAGTGGAAGCGTATGGCAAGCCAAAAAGGTCAAAAATGGCAGATTTTTTTTTTCAGATATAAAAAGTTATACATGTATGTAAAGGCTGATTTAGCCTCAGAAACCAGGTCGTCTGCATGTGTGAACGCAAATGTGTCCCCGCCCATTCCGCAGACACCCTGATGCACCTCTCCAAAATTGTAGATGACCGCAGACAGCGCCGAAGATAGGAGGCAGCTGATTGGTCGATTCTACATCTGCTCTACACTATGAGTATTTCCTGTTTGGTACCTTACCCGCTTGTTTTGTTTGTATAACCGCCATTGTGGAAAACGACTCGTGAAGATGGATCAGTTAGAAGAGCGAGGTGCGTAGGAACGCTGGGACCCTTTTTCCCCCCTGGATCCCCGCTCTTTTTCGCCCTCATGTCCCTCCGTTTTTGCACAAACTTTCCTCCACTTCCTCACCGCCTCGGCTGTATCTACACCCACAGCTCTTTCGTGATTGTCCCTCTTGCGTTGTGGCGTGGAATAACATACCCAAGACCACGCTTCAATATTGGGCATAAATTTAAAAACACAGCGACAGGCTCACTGCGACACACTGCTGCTGGAGTATAACCAGCCCTTAACACTTCATTTATGTCGCTTACTCTAAAAAAATTAAACAATCTTTTAATGCGATTCTTTAGCCCCTTTTATTTTGGCGATATTTTTCTAATTTTCTGTTCTGGGATGCTGCAGCTAATGGCTATTTTGCAAATCAATAAATGTGCTACTATTTTTGATGAATGTATTAATGTTAAGAAAGAAGATCTTTGACTTTAATGCAAGATTAATTTATTCTATTAAAGTTATAGATGAATTGCTGCTGAGTGGATGGTTACCTCTGCAAATTGCATGTTTTAGAGCTGGTATATTCCAATAACATTATTCAATTGATAAATTAGTTAATGATTATTTAATAAATAAATAAAATAATTATTAATCGCAATCAAGAGTTTAGTATCAAACATAAGAATTAAAAAGAATAAATTAAAAACAAGCTTATTAAGAAAAATTTAAGTTAGAAAATTATCAATAAACAAAGCTGAGAAATCTTCTAATTGAGCACCATGTCAAGAGTTGTAAAGCTGATAGTGTGTGTGTATATATGTATATATATATATATATATATATATATATATATATATATATATATATATATATATATATATATATATATATAAAGCTAAATTGTACTTTTTCCAACTTTTGAAATAACTCCTTTAACAATCTCAATAAAAAAACAGGCCTTCTTCTAATGATTGCATTTACACAATCTCATTCCAAAAATATCATCTTTAGGTAACGATTTACCAATTATTCTTCTAATTAGTTGACTTTTATGCACATTTGAGCCATAAATATGACAGGCTTAATTTTTTTTATAAACAATAGTGAAATATTTCTAACTAGTATTACTAAGAGCATAAAAAAAGGCAAAAACGTTTCCCTTTCAGAAACCTGGAAAGAAATGAGGAACTCTGAAACTCCCACTCACCTTCTGCACAAATTGTGGGTTTACTGTGATTTCTTGATCCATAGACTTTAGTTTCTCGTCCAGCTCTATACATTTCAACATCTGCGATAAGAAAAGACGATAAAATGGATTATAGCATCTTAACGGAGTTTTCTGAAGCAGAAGGAAACAACCTGATGTGTTCAACATCACCTCTTGGTCTATTTTGTGGAGCATTGCAGGGTTGTTGTATTTTTCGGGGTTGTCATGGAAACAGACCATACCATCCTTTTGGTTAATGCTAGCGTAGATCTCCCCATCTTCAATCTGAAAGAGGAAAAAAAAAAGATTTCAGACCAATTTCCTAAAATAACCTCCATGTTTGCATCAGAGCTAATTTTTATCCCAAGTTGTTGTTGATATTTAATAGAAATACTAAAATTACGACAAAAGTAGGAGAATCAACATGATCACACTCACCATGTGTAAGACATATTTCTCTGCTTCCTGGGGACCTGATAGCTGCACTCGACTCGCCATGTCTTGCAATGACAACGTCAGGAAAGTCTGGAGGGATCGAACGAAACAGAAAAGCTTAATCCATTCCTATAGCACACTGAAGCTTTACTTTTGTTATGACAATAAAAAAATAAAAAAAATGCACAAGCATAGCGAAATCCAACTCATTTCATAAATCGCCCTGTTTTAACCAGAAATCCATTTGGATTGTAACTGAAGAACAGTAGCACAATATATATATATATTTTTTTTTATTTAATGACAAAGGATGATCTGAAAAGTGTGTCAGGTATTCACTCCCCTTGACTCTGGTACCCCTAAATAAGCTCAAATTAGTAAATTAATCTCAGTGTGAATCCTGGAATCTCCAGCATAGGAAGTAAGCATGTCCATAAATCAAGTGTAAAATATCTAATATGATATTTAACAGCCTTTAAGCCAGAAAATATCTATCTAGATCAGACTGTGAAAATCTAAGCACCAGATTTAGTAAATAAACCATCAATCTACAGAATCTCACTAAGAAATAAATCCTGATGATATTTAACAGAACAATCAATTAGTAAACGAATCAATTTTACAGCCCTGCATAAAAAGAAAACCCAACAAATAAGAAACGAGGAGCAATGTGGTGCAGTTGTAGCTCATTGCTCTCAGGTTACTATGAAATTGGAGGAAAAAACAACAATAAGCTCTGAGAATCACCTTCCACTCCCTCAGTGACAAACTGTTCCAGAGTTTTTACTGTTCGCTGCCCTTTTCTTCCCTTTAAATAGTTTCTATTATATTACATATTGATTAAAATCCCTTAGTGTCATGAAGTGGGGCATAGCATTTGTAATGTGGTTGACAGCTGGCATTGCTCTCTGACAGTCACTGTAGCTCTGCCTGCTTTACATTTAAGAAAACCCTTTTTTTCTCCTTTATTTAATCAGACCATGTCAAACAAGAGACAATCAGTGGGAAATTGAGACAGAATTGAAAAATGCCAGTTTCACACAAATCAGGACATCTGATCACAGTGAAAAAAAAGCCCATCAGAGCTTGTAGAGTCAAACAAGCGGCGTGACGCAGCCTTAAGAATAAAATCCTGAACAATGGACTCTGGACGACGACCAAATAGAAACAAGGAAATGAAACATCTACAAGCTTGTGGTTAGCGGCAAGAAAAATTGCCCTAATAAATACCGAAGGAGAAAACCGCATGGCAGGAAATACAGGTGTTTCACTGCAATGTAAAAAAAAAAAAGGCTAATTAAATTAAACGAAAGCAAGATCGATTCCAGGTGATGCAGGGTGGAATATCCACAGGAAAGAAGCAGCTGAATGAATTCAGAAACTTAACACAGAATGGAGTCAGACTGACAGTGCAGCATTTCAGAAAAAGATGGAAAACAATCCAAAACACACAACTGAAGCAACCCAGGAGTTTATTACAGCAGCGAAGGGAAGGTGGCCGAGTCAGACGATTGCTGTGAGCCAGACTGGGCTCAATAGAGACGTGTAGAAACACAAAGACGCGACATTTAAGACCTGGTGGAGCGTTTATATGAAAAAACTATGACACATCGTCAGCAAACTGGTTTTTTAACATATTAGAAAAAACATTTTGCTTTTAGTTATTTAATTTGTCCAATTTTGACTGAACTCCTGAAAATCAGAGATTGTTAAAAATTCTTTAGTTTCCATGATGTATATTGTATGTTTTTATGTTTAACCCACTGAATTAAATCAGAAAATGTTAACCTGATTAACAGTTATTTTTATTAAAAGACCCTCTGAGGTAATGTATAAAAAATATAATTGGGACCTGACTGTATCCACTGAATCCATGTTTTAATAATGGAGTTAAAATATTTTATCACTGAGATTTAATTTACTCAAGAAGCTCATTAATTATGAAAGGAATGAAAACCTTAATGGGGCCATAAAAAAAAAAAAAAAACACACACACTAATATTGTTAATTATTTAGAACAGGAAGCTCTGTGCGATAAGAATAAAATCTAAATGAATCAGTTTTATTTTGCCATAATAAAACTGATCTTTCCACTGTTTTTGTTCCAGCTTCAGCTGAATAAAGAACTTTCTTTGTTCAGCTTTAATAACAGCAAGGCGTTTACCTCCATCAGGTCCCATCCTGTGAGGACGTGAGTTTAAACACCCGGAGCCATGAACCCACCTTTGTTAGCCTCTGGATGTTCTTCTTGTAGAGCGAGGACAGGCACTGCTTGACCAGGCCGGTGTTGTTGTCTCGTGTGAACGTCTCACTGTGTTTGTTGACCAGGTTGCGCAGCTCGGCGGGGTTGTTGGTGGAGTAGACCTGAGCCAGCTCGTGATATGCGTTGCTCAGGGGCTGGGGGTGGAGACAGGAAGCAGACAAAGAGCAAAACAGGTAGAAGTATGAAACAAGGATGTAAGAAAACACTGAAGGTATTTCTACCCTTTTCCCATAATCTTACATTACAAAGAGACTTTTATTTATTTTCTGGGAGTTTATGCAATAGTTAAAATAGATAAAAGTTTATGCTTCTTAAACTTCTTCCCAGTATAAATCTGATTATTGTTCAGCTGTATTCAGTCCCTCTGCACTAATTTTATTCCAATGTTAGCTTAAATGTATTTCTGCCTCCCTTGTACTTCTAATAACAGAAGTTATTAGAAGTACAAGTAACGTCTTCCTATGGGCAAGGACTTGAAGGCACACACTAAACTGTTCATAATTTATCATTTATGGTACGCCCGCATTCATAACATGTAGGCGAATCACTGTCCTGCAGACACTTGCAGTTATATTCTTTTTTACATTTATATCTTTTAAAAACAAAGCAGAGTGTGTATGACGTCATCTTGGATATAACCTAACCTAACATCTTCAGAACGGCTCCAAATGACACAAAACTCATATGGGTGAGTAGAACATGATGTAATAACGTAAAAGCAAGGGCCCAATTAAAAAAAAAAGAAAAAAGAAAACGGCGTTCCCCTTTAAGTGGGATACACCACGCTTAAAAATGTGCAAAACCCCCGAGGGTCAGAGACTCTCCCACCACAGTCTCCTTAAATCCTGTGGGAAACACTGCTCCACCCTGTGTTTTAGTGTGCAGCATTAGTTTCCAACCACACATAGCCAGTTCCAGGTAGGAAAATTAGTCCATATTCGGTTCAAGAACGTGCACGCCATTCCATTTTGGTTTTATATATGGGGAATCCAGAAATCAGAAAACAATCCGCTTACTGATTTCTAAAAGAAATCATTTTTGTTGTCTTTTTTTTTTTCTTTTTAAGAAAACGCCAAATCTGAAGCAAATTAGCTGTGTAGCTCAGCTGGCATCCTTGTCTTTTATAGATTTTAGCTGTTTGGCTTATTGCCAAAATGATCTACATCCAATAATAATAATAATAATAATTTTGTAAAAGTTTAAAAACAATCCACTGGACTTGGTTTCCAAGATTTGAAGACTTTTCGCTTCCCCTCCAGGAAGCTTTATCAATTCAAATCTCAAGTCATTTGAATTGATAAAGCTTCCTGGAGAGGTAGCGAAACGTCTTCAAATCTTGGAAACCAAATCCAGTGGATTATTTTTAAACTTTTACTGAATGACTATGACCTGGATGACTTAGAATCTTCATCAGCAATAATAATAATAATAATAATAATGAGGGGGATTCATTGGAACTTTCCGGGGATACGATCATATGCCCGTTATTCTTGTACCACTTCATGAGCGATACGAATCACAGAGAGCTTAATCAGGAAAGGAAGCATTAATTTTATTTTTAATTTTCCCTTTTTGTTTTAGAATTGAAAAAATGTTTAGAACAGTTCTCCTGATTTGAGATTTCAGAGGAAGACAACAACAATGGCTCCCGTTTTGTTTTCGTTTTAATTTCTTTGGAAATCAAGAATTTTTTTCATCTTCCTATTTTGGATTTCTCATTATAAAGCCATTACCCAATGTCCAGAAAGTACACAGACCATATTAGATCTCCTTCTTTCACATGTTGGCTATTTTTCAAACTTTTCCTTTTTCGTGCTTTAAGATCATAGACACCATCTTAGCTGTGATTCTAGGCATCTCCTCCAGACTCATAATGGGCTTCTGATAATTATCTTATCAGGAGGACTTTAGATGTTAGCTAAGGTCCCTGTGAGATAGTTCTCACAGAAATTAACTTTGTTCAGTAACTATTTAACTTCTACCAGAAACGAATGCTTTGGGTTTTATGTTGCTATTTCAAATCTAAACCTTAAATGTTCATTTGTAGAATGAACTTAGTAGTTGGTCCCTGTCTTTCTTTGTGTTGGTTTATCACTAAATATATAAAAAAAAAAAAACAATTTCTGTCCAAAAATGTTTGGACAGAAATTGAACACCATGCACTTTTCACCAATAATGTTTTAAATGGTTTCAGGAAGATATTTAGCGTTAGCTGAAATACAAGAAAGCCTGCGTACCTTGATGAACCTCCCTACTATCTGTGACGTGTATTTGGGCAGCTGCTGCACTTTGCCGTGGAGAATGAGCGACACCACGATGTATTTCTTATAGGCTTCCAACATGATGTGACTCACTGCCATGGCTGGAGTGGTTATTGCCTGCCGAGGAACAGAAACAGGTTAATATCTCCCCCGAACGCAAAGGAACGAGCAGAAAACTAAAGGTTTTACCTGTTCATAAAAATACAGTGCTCTTTCAAAGTTTTTGAGGCCCGTATAGATCATCCCACCATAGTAGTAGTAACATAAAAAGTGCTTTGCATCGTAGGCTCCATTTTCCTTGCAGATGTCCATCATGTCCACCTCCAAGAAGGGCAGAGCAGGCTTGAAGCACTTTGCTAACAAGCACAGCTGCAGAGGACAGAGAAAGAGGTGAGCTGATCGGGAGCGGAGCGTTCAGCAGCAAGGAGAACAGAACAGAGACTCACCTGACACAAGTCTGCATGAACTGAGGTAAGTTGGTTTGTGTTCATCTGCATTTTGTCTATCGCCTGTTTTAGGATGACGACGCCCCTCAAAGGCTGCAGGAGGAGAACATGGGGAGAGATTAAATGGCAGCTTTTTCTAGAGAAATTCAAACTGAAGCTGTTTTTCCTGCTTTAAGATACAATAAAATATTTATTCTAAGTCAGAACGGAACCAGCGTGTTGCTTTTAGGATTAATGCAAAAACACAATGATATAGGAAGTTTTAGCCAACTTTGAAAAACACGACCACGTCTTTAAAATGCCACAAAGGCACACAGAGATAAATGACCGCTACGCATCACAGAAACAAACAACCCACCACAGCTACTGAACTGGGAGGAAGTGGTGGCTTCGTACAGCAGCAGGCTGGCTGCAGCAGCAACAGGCATGACTGATTTACTGGTTCTATTTACCCTGACTGTTGAGGAGCCTTTTCGTTTGATATGAGAGAATCTATCAATCAGAAATGAGTCATCTTATATGTATTTGACCTTCAAGCCTTTTCCAGGAAAAGATTATGTCACAGATTCATTATAAAGAGCTTTCTCTTTTGAAGAAAGATTATGTTAGTTGAAGAATGAGAACAATAAATGGTTTCTATGGGAATGGGATGCTGGTCTGTGTCCCATCTTCCAGATGAACACAGTTCAAAGGTTCTCTTTGGGGTTTCAGTTGACGAATGCAGCAGAACTGAGCCCAGAGATCCCTGTACTTTTAATGATGTTACTATAAAGGTTATTCACTAAAGGAAGGATGGAAAATGTTTCATCCTCCAGTTAGATGGTGGGTGAGTTGGACTAGATCAAATATGGTGGATTACATAAGTCCCTACATCGTCTGTAACCATGGAAACCTCACACTGAGCCATTAATGATGTCTTCCCTCACCTCCTCCAGTCATTCATTTCTAAAGAACTTCTAAACTTTACCTTCATCTGAAAAAAGGAATTAGGACACTTTGAACAACAGTCAGTTCCTTCATCTCTATAAGTTGTTTCTATTCTAGGAGTGGCTTAATTAATCTAACACAAAAACTGACAAAAATAAAAGCAATACATCATTAAGGATATAGCTAAACCAATTTTAAAGACCTACTTTTAAAATCTAGGTCGCCCTGACATGATGATTGAACTGCTGATATATGCAGCTAAAGAGCATGAGAAAATCTATGACGTTTGAAAGAAAAACAAGTAATGAAAGGATGGAGTCTAAAGCAGATTGGATCTCCTAGAAGCTGTACCTGTTTCCGCTCTACAAGGGCGTTTGTCAATTGGTGGCAAAGGCCAGCAACTGGAAAAAAAGAAAGAAAACAAATGATCAGCATCAAAGAAAATCATTTACTTCTTGATAAATCAACAGTTCAGTATGTTACACCCTACTTAAAATGAACCTGACTGTTTTCTTCTAACTTCTCGTCTCCTCGCCCCCCTTCAGACCTGTTAACTGATCCGATTACAGCGAGAAGGAGGTTTAATACCAACATAAAACACCTTTCGTTATGTTCTGTATAGTTTAACCTGATACTGGCAGACAGCCTGACCAACTTTAATCTGCTGTCATCAGCTTGTGTTGCTCCATAAAGGGTTACAAATTAAAAATGTTTTGAAGTGTGAACCTTATATAGAAATAAAATCTCTTAGCAATATTGTTAAATATGTGATATCAAATAAAGTTTGTAAACGTTTTCCAAAATATGCATCTCAGGAGAATCTGGACAGAATATCAGATCATCTAGAACAGGCCTCCTGATGGTGGGGGAGTCGTCTCCTCCTCAGACGTTTTCTCTGTCATTGTTTGAATCCAATTTAAGATGGCTTTTAATGCCAGGTGTGAACAACTGTCTGCAGAACTTCGTAAAGCCTCTTTCCCCACTGAAATTAGGCTACGTTCACACTGCAGCCTGAAGTGACCCAAATCCGATTTTTTTTGCCCATATGCGACCTGGATCAGATCTTTTCATGGCTGTCTCAACAAAACGGATCCATTTTTTTCCAGTGCGACCCAGGCCACTTGGCTATGTGGTCCTGAATCCGATACGAATCTGATCTTTTGCGACCTGTGTCTGAACGGCCAGGTCGCATTTATCCGACCTGAATGCCAATAATACCCGACAAGTTCACTAGAAAAACAGCAACAATGGTGGACGATGATGCGGAGAGCAGTATTTATGATTTTTTTTTTTTATGGTTGGGAAAGATTGCTAGATGCGCTCCAGCACTACCATCCATGTTTACTTCTGTAAACACAGAGGCCTGTGACATAATTGCGCCCTCTACTGCGCATGCGGGACACTTGCATTGTATGACTGCAGTTCACACAGGACATCACATACAAGTCACAGATAATTGGAAATGGAATTCAGCATCAAGGCCTGCAGTGTGAGCGTAGCCTTAGTGGGTTAAAGCAGGTTTTTCAAACGTGGGTTGACCAGCTAAAAATCGGGATTTGGTTCCCTACCCATTGGCAAAAAAAGCTGGGTCTGCCCTCCCCCCGCTGCTGCGTGTTTGGTGTTTCTTGAGCTGTCAGAGCCTAGCTGTTTCAGGGTGATTTTAACCCGGTCAGTGAGAGATTCATACTGCCACTAAAAACTGATTGATCGCGGGTTTAAACTGTTTTTTTTTTTTTTTTTTGCCAGTGGGAGAGGGGTACATTTTTTTATCAGAGTCAGGCAGGCAGATGAAAACAACGAATTCAAGATCACCATGATCTGGACTGTGACCACAAACGGGTTAATTTGTTCACTCCTTAGAGTTAAGCAGCTGCTCAGTAAGGACTTACAAGTGTCTGTTGCATATCTAATGTGTTCCCCATTACAGGTGCTGATGAAGAGCTGAACTTGAGAGAAGAGTGTCTCAAAGTCTGGGATGTTTGGCATGGAGAACTTCACAAATCTAAAAAACAAAGGAGGAGATCACAAACAGTCTTTCAGGACATCAATGACACTAGAACAACACACACATGTCTACAGGAGATGAGCTATTAACTAAACCAAAGGTTAACCAAAATTCTTACAAGTAACAATATTCAGCACTTCCAGGGTCTCACACCCAACAGATAACAGAACTCGCACAGAAGCAGTCAAATGTGTCATGGCCCGGGTGGATAAAACGGTCAAACAGGAAACTTACAGCACAGCAAGCACGCCAAGGGAGTGCTCCTGGATGTCCAAGGCTCCTAGCACTGTGTCCAGGTGGGACAGATTTTTGGCTAGCAGCTCCCCGCTCTTGTTGATCAACTCACACAGCTGAGTCATCTGGCCTGGAGGGGGGGGTTAAGGATGGAAGAGGACAGAGAAATTAACCTTTGAAAGCTCCTACTGGATAGATACCTTTAACAGTGGCTAGAAAAGTCTTCAGTCAAATGAAACTTTACCAAATGTTGACACTTTACAACCAGAACCTTAAGTATGTTAATGGGATTTTATGCGACAGGCCAAATATAAATATGTATCTAACTTTAAAGTGTAAGAAAAGCAGTATAGGGTTTGCAAATCTTTTGTTGCAAAAACTGCTGGTATTTTTGCATCTACTGCTGTACGCAAAAAAAAACCCTACAGGTTGCAAGGTAATGTTACTTCAAAGTTAAATTTATACATTTTAACTAGAGTAATCAAGAACACACTGAGCTTGAGCTATTCTGCAAAGCAGAAGAAGTGAAATTAATTTAGGTAGATGTGCCAAGCTGGTAGAAATGGCAAAAATACTCGGTTCTAGCAGTGGTTCTACAAAGGATTGACTCTGATGTGCTAAATATGGTACGCTTTTTACATCTGCTATAAATACTTTATTATATGTGTTGCTAAAACTCCCAAAACACCACAAACTTTCGGTGTTCAGGACAAAAAGGGTTAAGGTTCCAAGAGATATTAATATTTAATTTAATCAGACGCTATGCAGTCTTTAACCAAAACAAACATTAAAAAACAATCGCAGCTAGCAACCAAAGGACAGTAATTATCTGTAATAAAGTTAAATGAATACCTTCAGAAGCTATTATAAGATAAATAGTTTCCCCCAGTAGAATTAGACAATTCATTCCCTCGACAGATATTAAACTGGATTTTCTATATTTTACCTCCCAAGAAGCTTTTCCTTAGAAAGTTGAAAAACAGCATGAATCACGTGTTGTTGTTGTTTTATAAACCCCCTGAGACTTATTTGAACACCAATCGGCCGGTCAAATGCCCTGTCAAGGCCTTGCACGAGTGAGGTAAGACAAAATGATTGACAGATGACTTTCATCCAATAGCATTCCAGATTTCGCGTCGGCAACCAATCAGGGGAGGGCTAGGCGGGACTACCGGTAGGCTAAACCCCAAAATCATTAGCTTGATCTGAAACAAAAAGTATAATTTTGACATTTAATTTCATGGGTTGCGGAGTTTGAGTGTGTCCCCCGAGACACTGTATACAGACGAATCTCCTCCTGTGAGTTTACAGAACTCTCGTGCTGTAATAAACTCATTTTGGTGGTGTGTTTACATGATAAAGCAAAATGATAGCTCTTAGCAGTTATGCTGCCTGGCTATCGCCAAAGCATTGGGTAGCATATGCTAGCTAACTAGCTAATACTTCTCCTGCGGTAAGTTTAGCGGGCCTACCTTGAGCGGACAGCTGCCGCACATTGTTAACGAACTGCTCCAATGCTGAAGCCATTATTTCCCGGGTCCAAAGTGGAGGTAATTCGTCGTGTTTTTCATTCAAACGTCAGAAACAAGTCGGTCCGGGCTGAGACAGGGGGCAACACAGCCGCCACTGATGGGGAAGCTATCGCGAGATCACAGCGACAGAGCGGACTGATACGGGACTGACGAAACGTCTTTTTTTAACTCTTAAACCGCTGAACGCACGGTTTGCTTTCCGTGTTTAAAAAAGACCAAAAAGAAAAAAAAAAAAAAAAAAAGCTGCAGTTTTTTACTTAAAAAATAGTTGGAGGCCAATCTGCCATTTAAAAATAGTCACAAACAAAAACGAACAACTTGAAACCGATTTCATGGAATTTTGACAAATATTTTCTCTGAGCAAGAGCTTCTGACTTAAAAAAATAAATAAATTATTATCTGCCTTTGAACTCAAACAAATATTAGAAACGACTTCGGTCCTTGTACTTTCAGGCAATTCGGTTTTTTTTTCTTGAGAACCAAAAACAGATACTACTTATGTTTTTCCGTTTTTATTTTTAAGAATCAAAAACGGGAGGGGAAAAAAAGCCTTTTTTCCTTTCCTGTCACCAGAATTTAGAGACGAAAAACGTAATTAAAAAACGGCCAGTTTTTGGCATTTTCTTCTTCAGAGTTGAAAGATGAAGATCACGGCTGGCCCGGAAGTGCAGAACAATATTTCAAAATAAAAGCCTAGATACACGCCTAACATAATGCCTCCTTGTCTTTTTATTTTGTTAGATTATTTTTTTGTTTGTGTCGTTCTGTTTTATTGTTGCCTTATAACTATATTTGTGCCTTAAGCCTGTAAGACTTGACTTCATGTATTTACAGACCACGCGATTTTGTTCAAAATGGTTAATAAAAAAAAAAAAAGATATACGCGTAACATAATGCAAACCTGAAGAAAAATTAATGAAGTGTAGAGATGTCTTTGGAATAAAAAGAGGATCTTTTTACTTTACGACATGATATTTTATTCTACAGACGTGAGCTTTATTACTTTATTGTGTGTTTTATTGTTGGAACATGTAAGACAAAGGCTAATCAGATGCTGTAAACCAAAAATATAGAAAGTTTAGTTGATGGTGATTTTTTTTCATCAAGCAAAATCCACCTTTGCATCTTCCCTCCCAACCTGACCATGCTTCAGTTCTAAAATAGAAAATATGTTGCTAATTATAACCAGGTTTACTAACGTGCTCTTATGAGACATATGTGTATTGAATGTAACAGCATATGTCACCGATTTAATAAGAGTCCAATCTTTTTTTTCCACCACAATGTTTAAAAAAAAAAAAACACTTTTTTAAAAATGAAGAAGTCTAGAAAGCTGTACTTAACAAAATGTCTATTTGTATACACTTGTGTGTACAAAATGACAAAATAAAATCTGTCTAAGTCTAAATCAGTTGCGCAGACAGATTCTAGGTTTCTCCTTTCAGGTGGACTGCAACAGTTTACCCTTAGCAGGCTCCGAGGAGTGAGCTATCTTTTCTGTATAAACTATCTTTGAAGGAGCTTTCGTGTTTCTTCTCCACCTTCATCCTGATGCGCTGCTAAACAATACTTTATGGCCACTCCTTGGTGCGTTCAAATACCCAACCAAGATAGCTAAAAAGGAATGACTTGAAAATGATTTCACTTCAGGTTCAACCTGTTTACTGCTGAACATTGATTTCATGGAATGATATCGGACAGAAGCTAAAGTTTACTCATGAGGATATATAAAAGTAACACGAGCAAGCACATAAAAGGCAGGCAGAAAACCTCTAATGTGTACAATTTTTCCCCCCACTTCTTTCACTAGTTACTTATTTTATTTGACTTTTCTATCTAGGTGTTTGTTTTTTTCAAAATAGAACTGTAAATATACAGTCATATGTTTATATTACTGTTTTTATATATATATATATATTTTTTGCTGTTTTTGAAGGCTTCACAATTGTCTAGAGAGCTGTTAATGAAATGTATTTTTCTTTTACACTTGTGTATACAAAATGACAAACAAATCTGTCTAAGTCTAAGGTTTGAATTTCTAAAAAGATACTTTTCGTATTGACAAATGTTTGGTAAATTTGTGAGTTATTTGGGGCCATTTAGGATATCATTATCTATATTTCTGGTCTTTAATTGTGCCCGGTAGAATTATATCACAGCAAAAATTAATAGATAAAAAAATAACAATAACATCACCTGGAAGTGGCCAAGAATTTAATTTACAAAGTGCTTAAAAGACATTGGTTTTTTCACTGTTGTTCCAATAAGTTTAATAGTAAGAACAAAAACATAGACTCCAAAGTTGTAGTTCTTCAAAAAGTCAGAGAAAGAATATCAAGATTTGATGCATAAAATACCTAATCTTGAAAAGTTTTTTTCTCTTTTTGGAAATATGAATTAACACTATAACATTGTTTAAAATTCTAAAAACATGACTTATATTTTGAGATAGTCTTCAACATAAATGGCATATTAACCAGAGAAAAGAGGTTAAACACGTATAGTATAGCTGTAACCTAAACATTTTTTTATATTCCCCCATCCTTTTTTTTCCACTAATTGAAATGTCTTCAAATCCACATTAATACGAGTTCAACAAACTGTAGTAAACAGATAAATGGAGGCAGAGGATGTCTTTCAGTCATTAATGCACACATTCAGCGACACACAGGAGCTCTTTCAAGCTGGGCACCGTTTCATTCACAACACCTGTCCCATCAACCAGGAATCAGAATCAGAAATACTTTAATAATCCCAGGGAGAAATTAATTTCTTTACATGTGACTCCCTCTGTAATTGAGTGACTATAGGACCAGATTGATATACCATTTTATACAATATATAACTACCGTTCAAAAGTTTGGGGTCATCCAAACAATTTTGTGTTTTCCTGAAAAGTCACACTTATTCACCACCATACGTTGTGAATAGAATGTGAATAGAAAATAGATTCAAGACATTGACAAGGTTAGAAATAATGATTTGTATTTGAAATAAGCAGCTCCCACAAGTTGGATTGGTTGGATGGGCACTTCTTGCGTACCATACGGTCAAGCTGCTGCCACAACAGCTCAATGGGGTTCAGATCTGGTGACTGCGCTGGCCACTCCATTACCGATAGAATACCAGCTGCCTGCTTCTGCTCTAAATAGTTCTTGCACAATTTGGTGGTGTGTTTAGGGTCATTGTCCTGTTGTAGGATGAAATTGGCTCCAATCAAGCGCTGTCCACTGGGTATTGCATGGTGTTGCAAAATGGAGTGATAGCCTTCCTTATTCAGAATCCCTTTTACCCTGTACAAATCTCCCACCTTACCAGCGCCAAAGCAACCCCAGACCATCACATTACCTCCACCATGCTTAACAGATAGTCAGGCATTCTTCCAACATCTTTTCATTTGTTCTGCGTCTCACAAACGTTTTTCCTTTTGCCCATCTTAATCGTTTTCTTTTATTGGCCAGCCTCAGATATGGCTTTTTGTTTGCCACTCTGCCCTGAAGCCCAGAATCCCGCAGCCACCTCTTCACTGTAGATGTTGACACTGGTATTTTGCGGCTACTATTTAATGAAGATGCCAATTGGGGACCTGTGAGGCGTCCGTTTCTCAAACTAGAGACTCTAATGTACTTATCTTCTTGCTCAGTTGTGCAATGCAGCCTCCCACTTTTTTTTCTACTCTGGTTAGAGCCTGTTTGTGCTGTCCTCTGAAGGGAGTCGTACACGCCGTTGTAGGAAATCTTCAATTTCTTAGCAATTTCTCCCATGGGCAGTGATGGGAGTAACAGCGTTGAAAGTAACGGCGTTACTAACACATCGACCTTGTTTTAGTAATGAGTAATCTAACTAATTACTTTGACTGTAACTATAACGCAGTTACCATTGCAGACACCCCGTTACTGCACGTTACTCAGGTCGCACAATGAACCTTTTTTCATGATAGGACTCGTGCCGCCTTGTCATGAGAGAGGGGAGGATGAGAATGGCTGATGTATAGTGAGATTCCGTCTGTCAGTTAGGTAGGTGGGTGTTTCTGCTGGTGAGTGTTAACGTACAGCACACACAGAGAGATGGAGAGTGAGGAGGACTCCAACAGCAAAACGGCGTTTTCCAGATGGAAATACCGGTGTTACGTCGAGCTGCGTTTCCTCATCAGATACGGTTTCCCCTGCACCTCCGCACAGCGCAGGCGGCAAGAGTCACCGCGCAAGCGACAGGAAACGCGCATGCTCGCTAAAGACGCGCAACAGTTGCCCTGTGCTCGCGCCACAGGGGAACTATGGAGAGCGTGAACGATCAAATGATAGCCTATATATGGAGAAAGGGAAAAATATGGATGGATGGATGGATGGATGGATGGATACTCTGCCTTTTCAACCTACTGTATTTTTTATTTTAAACATTATTTGATGGTCTTTGTGGCAGGGATGGAGATCCATATTTTATGTCACACACAGAGTATACATCTAGATAGATAGATAGATAGATAGATAGATGATAGATAGATGTTGCAGTATCCACAACAACCCAAACACACAGGATTTCAGAATTAGACATCCCCAGTTATTAATTTCATACACTCACCAGATCTGAACGCCCTGTTAAAAAACTTCACATGGCGTTCCCCCCTGATGTCATTTAGGTTGAGTTGCAATAAATGCCAAACTCTCTGCAGGTTCTTGTCTTTGTCGTCCACTCTATTCAGCTGGCTTTTGAACTAGTTACTAGTTACTTTTATTGTGGAGTAACTCAGTTAGTAACTCAGTTACTTTTTGGGAGAAGTAACTAGTAACTATAACTAATTACTTTTTCAAAGTAACATGCCCAACACTACGCATGGGATAGCCTTCATTTCTTAGAAAAAGAATAGACTGTCGAGTTTCAGATGAAAGTTCTCTTTTTCTGGCCATTTTGAGCGTTTAATTGACCCCACAATTGTGATGCTCCAGAAACTCCATCTGCTCAAAGGAAGGTCAGTTTTGTAGCTTCTGTAACGAGTTAAACTGTTTTCAGATGTGTGAACATGATTGTAGAAGGGTTTTCTAATCATCAATTAGCCTTCTGAGCCAATGAGCAAACACATTGTACCATTAGAACACTGGAGTGATATTTGCTGGAAATGGGCCTCTATACACCAATGTAGATATTGCACCAAAAAACAGACATTTGCAGCTAGAATAGTCATTTACCACATTACCAATGTATAGAGTGTATTTCTTTAAAGTTAAGACTAGTTTAAAGTTATCTTCATTGAAAAGTATAGTGCTTTTTCTTCAAAAATAAGGGCATTTCAATGTGACCCCAACTTTTGAACCGTAGTGTATAGGATAGCTGTAACCTAAACATTTTTTTATATTCCCCCATGCATTTTTTTTCTCACTAATTGAAATGTCTATAAATACACATTCACATGAATTCAACACACTGTTGTAAACAGATAAATGGAGGCAGAAGATGTCTTTCAGTGATCAATGCACACATTCAGTGACACACAGGAGCTCTATCAAGCTGGGCACCGTTTCATTCACAACACCTGTCCCATAAACCAGGAATCAGAAATACTTTAATAATCCCAGGGCAAAATATTTTTTTTACATGACTCCATCTGTAATGTCTCCATCAGTTTGGGTTGGTCTTGGTCTGGAAAACGTTGAAGACCCCTGCTTTAGAGCGACATAGATGGATATCTTTGAATTTACGAGTAAACCTGAATGCATCAAGGATATTAAATCTGTGTCGTAAAGCACCGTGTAGAAGCGCAACTGGGGAGATACGCGTCTGCAAAAAGGGGAACAAGGTGGTTTGTGACACTGGCTTGTAGTACAGTTTGTTCCCACATTGGAGCCCTTCTCCCCCCGCGGTCCTCCCTGTCCGCTCACTGCTAACAGCGGTTACAGCTGACCAGCTGCTATCAGATACTGTTAGCCTGGCAGCTAGCCGCCGGCTCCGTTAGCTCAGCTGCTGCAGTAAAACGGCCACAACTGAAACCGAGCTCCATTAAAGCTCGTCATAAATAAAACGGGAAAACTCCAGCTCCAACAGATGTTTATTTCTTGTTTATTCCATTTCCCATGCGGACTTTGTGTCGGCTTGCTTCAGCAGCAGTGAGCTTAAATCGGTCTATCGGCCGCTGGAGGCTGCAGAGATGTCGCTGTGCAGGGCTGCTACCCGCCTCCTCGGAAGACGGAAAGGCTTCCTCCCAGAACAGTTAAAGAGGATCGCCTTCGACATGTCCTCCTCCTCCTCCTCGGCTGCCGGTAAGAGGCTGCGGGTCCTGGTTGACATGGATGGGGTGCTGGCGGACTTTGAGGGGGGGTTCCTGAGAAAGTACCGGGCGAGATACCCGGACGATCCCTTCGTCCCGCTGGATGACAGGAGAGGCTTCTGGGTGTCATCGCAGTACGGCCAGCTGAGGAGCGACCTCTGTGTGAGTGATCATCACACCGGGAGAGCCGGTCTGAACCGGTTTGATGAACTTTAGAACTATTATCCCTACTTTTTTATTTTAATCAAATCAAATTCATGTGGGATTTAATTAATGATCTAGATATCAGCAGGTTAAATTCGGTTTCTGTTCCTTATCTTGTTTTGTGATCTTTTTTATAAGTATATAATCTATCCTCCCAAAGCAAGATTCCATTAAATAAGGAACATTATGGCTGATCTGAGTGTGTACATCTGTGTTTTTCCACATGAATGTTTTGTTTTCCTCTGTTTTGTGTTGCACCAATGCAATTTTTTGAATCCAATACCGATACCTGGCTGTATAGTATCGCCGATACCATCTGTTTGAAATTGATGTGTGTGTATATATATATTGTCAAACTGCTGCCAACCTTTGTGAAGCAGGAAAATTACTTAAAATGAATCCAGTAGAACTTTTTATTGCCTATCCAAGTAGTATGCAGTTCTTCATATATATACACACATTAATTTCAAACACATGGTATCGGTATCGGCTGATACTGCGCAGCCAGGTATCGTATCGGGGACAAAAAAATGGCATCGGTGCAACACAAATTTTCATACAAACAGCAGGAGATGCAGCAGAACACATAACTCAATAGGATTATTTCATTGACCGTAAAGAATAGGCAGAGAAAAAAGCTCTTAATATAAGCCAGTAAAATATTAGGATTATAATTATATCGCAGCAAAGAATAAATAAATAACAGTAAAATCACCCGGAAGTGGCCAAGAATTTAATTTACTTTGCTTAAAAGAAATTGGTACCATTGTTGAATTAAAAACATATATTTTCTTATTTAAGAGCGATATGGATTAATTTGAATTTACGAGTAAACCTCAATGCATCAAGGATATGAAATCTGTGTCGTAAAACACAGTGTAGAAGAGCAACTGGGGAGAAACGCCTCTCAAAAAGGGGAACAAGGTGGTTTGCAACACTTGCTTGTTGTACCTGGAATGGGTAACTATAGTTGAATAAACTTTTGGCTCTGAAAATATTATCAGTGCCCTATTTGTCGGTACTTGCCGATACAGGTGCAACACTACCTCTTCTGCCTTTGCTTTTACTCCTTTAATTACTCCTTTGATCAGTACTTTAAGGGGAAATCAAATTGCTCTTCAGCAAAAACAGCTTTACATTAGAACTTGTCTTGAATCTGTCAAAAGTCCCTCAATCTGCACTAATCTTTGCTGTAGGCTGATCACATGCTCTTTCCCTTACAGTGTTATTAATATACACAAAAAGGCAGAACAATCTATGTTCAGTACTTTTTAGAAATCTAAAGGCCTATTCTGTGGGATCCTCACATGGAAACAGGTCCACAGGTAAGCAGACTCAGGTTTAAACAATCGAGCGTCAGATCGCAACAAAGAAAACAGGGAAGGTGTAACTTTTTCACATCGTGTCGACAGCAAACCTGACCTTTGCACCTTCCTGTATTTACAGCAAAGGTTACACTGATACAAACACACGTGATGAAAGCACACTACTTGATGGAAGCTCTGCCTGTGTTTCTGTCTCTAGGAAAAAGCCATCAGTATCTGGGAGTCCAAAGGCTTCTTCATAGACTTGGATCCTCTGCCTGGAGGCGTGGAGGCGGTGAAAGAGATGGCCAGGATGGATGAGTAAGACTCAAAGGCGTTCTGCAGCCGTTTGCTATGTAGTAACAAACCTTTGTGGTGTTGACGTAGCAGAATGTGATGCAAAAGAGGGTGCTGTCAGTTGTGTCTAATAGATGCACCCACATCCCATATGATTGACTGTTTTTAGCTTCTTTTCATTTCTATCTAGCGATGGTCAATGTAATCCAGTTTTGCATCCGAAATGTAGAGATGTTTGAAGACTTAAATCATTTTACATTAGTTTAGTTGGGAAGGGTGAGATATTTAAGGAGGAAACAGTTGGGTTAGTTTAACACTTGGCCTCTAGGAGGCAGAGGAAACAAACCAAAATTACATGAGAAGACTGTTGCTGCATTCTGCATCAAAGCTAAAGGTTCTACTTTTTTTAGCCCTTTAGAGTTAGCTATAGACATATATACAGGTGCTGGTCATAAAATTAGAATATCATGAAAAAGTAGATTGATTTCAGTAATTCCATTTAAAAAGTGAAACTTGTATATTATATTCATACATTACATACAAACTCATATATTTCAGATGTTTATTTTGTTTAATTTTGATGATTACAAATGACAACAAATGAAAATCTCAAATTTATTATATCAGAAAATTAGAATATTACTGAAGACCAATAAAAACAAAGGATTTATAGAAATGTTGGCCAACTGAAAAGTATGAACATGAAAAGTATGAGCATGTACAGCACTCAGTATTTAGTTGGGCCTCCTTTGGCCTGTATTACTGCAGCAATGCGGCGTGGCATGGAGTCGATCAGTCTGTGGCACTGCTCAGGTGTTATGATAGCCCAGGTTGCTCTAATAGTGGCTTTTAGCTCTTCTGAATTGTTGGGTCTGGTGTATTGCATCTTCTTCTTCACAATACCCCATAGATTTTCTATGGGGTTAAGGTCAGGAGAGTTTGCTGGCCAATTAAGAACAGGGATACCATGGTCCTTCAACCAGGTACTGGTAGCTTTGGCACTGTGTGCAGGTGCCAAGTCCTGTTGGAAAATGAAATCTGCATCTCCAAAAAGTTGGTCAGCTGCAGGAAGCATGAAGTGCTCTAAAACTTCCTGGTATGTGGCTGCGTTGACCCTGGACCTCAGAAAACACAATGGACCAACACCAGCAGATGACATGGCACCCCAAACCATCACTGACTGTGAAAACTTTACACTGGACTTCAAGCAACGTGGATGAAGTGCCTCTCTTCTTTTCCTCCAGACTCTGGGACCTTGATTTCCAAAGGAAATGCAAAATTTACTTTCATCAGAGAACATGACTTTGGACCACTCACCAGCAGTCCAGTCCTGTTTCTCTTTAGCCCAGGCAAGACGCTTCTGACGCTGTCTGTGGTTCAAGAGTGGCTTGACACAAGGAATGCGACAGCAGAAACCCATGTCTTTCATACGTCTGTGTGTGGTGGTTCTTGAAGCACTCACTCCAGCTGCAGTCCACTCTTTGTGAATCTCCCCCACATTTTTGAAGGGGTTTTGTTTCACAATCCTCTCCAGGGTGCGGTTATCTCTCTTGCTTGTACACTTTTTTCGACCACATCTTTTCCTTCCCTTCGCCTCTCTATTAATGTGCTTGGACACTGAGCTCTGTGAACAGACAGCCTCTTTAGCGATGACCTTTTGTGTCTTGCCCTCCTTGTGCAAGGTGTCGATGGTCGTCTTTTGGACAACTGTCAAGTCAGCAGTCTTCCCCATGATTGTGTAGCCTATAGAACTAGACTGAAAGACCATTTAAAGGCTTTTGCAGGTGGTTTGAGTTAATTAGCTGATTAGAGTGTGGCACCAGGGGCCATCAATTTTGAACCTTTTCACAATATTCTAATTTTCTGATATGATGAATTTGAGATTTTCATTTGTTGTCATTTGTAATCATCAAAATTAAACAAAATAAACATCTGAAATATATGAGTTTGTATGTAATGTATGAATATAATATACAAGTTTCACTTTTTAAATGGAATTACTGAAATCAATCTACTTTTTCATGATATTCTAATTTTATGACCAGCACCTGTATGGTTAGATGCTACTCTTAAAAATACAGAGTTAATTTGTTTGAAACAAGTGAAAGACACTTGCCTTGAGCAATACCTCTCCCTCTGGGGGACTTTGCCTTTGAGTTGCTTCAGCATCGGTATCACATCATTTCTGAAGATTATGCTCCTCTTTTGGACGGATGAACAAGGAGATACTTCTGGCAACCAGAAAACATATTTATGGTCGTTTTAACACTAGTTAAAAAAAATATATATATATAAAACAGTTGCTGTCACCGTGCAGATTATCTGCTAAAACAGCCACTTTGGCTCAGCTTTGAACAGGAATGAAGGCGCTCAGAGACAGTTTTCATGAGGATAGCGTTACAACATGGTGAAACCTAAAAGAAAAAAAAAGTAGATTTTTCATGATATTGATCCTTTCATTGATTTTAAACTGAGAGAAATGAAGAAAAAACCTTTTATCGTCTCACAATTGCGAAATTTTGGTGTTACAGAAGCAAAAAGATTTTAGTAAAAAAGATTTAGCGATGCAAAACAAAATATCGTTTTGTTTACACTGTATACAGAATGACAATTAAAGTTGTCTAAGTCTTAGCTCTATTAAGGCCCCGTCCACACGAAGTCAAAACGAACACGAAATGCTAATATTTTCCAGAACATTTGTCGTAAAGACGGAGACGTAAAATAAATGTGAGCGTCCACACGAATGCATGAAAACGCTGCAAAATGAATGCCAGGCCTGTAAGTGGCGCTGTGGTGCCAAAGCAAAAATAGGCGAAAACAGGCAACGAAATGTTGGGCATGCGCACTAATATTTATACAACAACCAAACCGGAAAACCGGAAAATGGCCCTGCGGGTCCATTTTCGTGGTTCAGTCAAATTCAGGTGCTGAACTATGTGGTCGATATTGCTCTGTTCTTCCTGGAGATATTCCAGAAGAAGAAGATTCTGTTGTAAGCCCGACAGCAGGGTGAGTAGCATGAGCAGCAACCATTCAACACAGTACGGCGCCATTGTTGTTGTGATACTGTGTCGCGCATGCGTGTTTAGAGGCGACGCTATGACGCTTGCATGTAAAAAAAAAAAAATGCGGTCAGACCTTAAAGATGGAAACGCGAAAACGGCGTTTCAAAATCTTCCCACTCTTAATAAAAAAAAGATCGTTTACAGACCCCCGAAACGCTGGCTTCGTATGGATGAGAGGTTGGTTTGGTGAAAAATTTGTGCGTTTAGGCCAGGGTTCGTCTTCGTTCTAAAGTGTTGCTGTGGGCTTATTAAAATTGACTTTTGTTTAATTTAAGAGCAATAAAATCTCTTTATTCCTCTCTAATAGCTTTTTTAAGTATATATGAAAAAATGTAGAGTTATTATTGGCTGCTTTTGGCTATATGCCTCAGGGGCAAAGCCTCTTTAATGTTATGTCTTTGTTTTCATTCTGTCAGTTTGTTGACTTTTTTATTCACCTTTTCTTTTTTCTAACTAAAAAGTTCTGAACATTATTAAGATCGTAGGTTTTCCTAGTTTAAATTCTACTTAGTTGAACCATTTTTTCGTATAACTCAGTGCTTTCATCATGCTGGGAAATAAACGTTTCTTTCATTTCTGCGTCGCTTAAAGTTGCTTCATTCTCAGACACTACAGGACTCCAGTGAGGCTAAAAATGTTCCCTTTTTAAAGTAGGATTGCAGATATAAGCACCTTTTAAAATAATAGTTTACTTTCACTTCAGTTTGACTCTTCCTTGGTGGTGATTGAGTTTGAAAAACCAGTAAACAACACGTGGGGGTGGGGCTCAGTGTGTCTGGACTCCTCAGACCAACTGGTACTACCTGTTAGTGCCATCATACAGGTTCTCTGTGGGCGGAGGGCAGCAGGAAAGCATGTGGCACCACTTCACACTGAGCTCTTGTTGTTTCCTTTTCTCCCTGCAGCACAGATGTCTTTATTTGCACCAGCCCCATTAAACATTACAAACACTGCCCATATGAGAAGGTAAACCCTCCGCTCATCAATAACAGCCTTCATCTAAAATAATCATTAAAGTGCTGTGTTTTTCTAACAGCTCCTATCTGGTGTGTGTGTGTTTCCAGTACGCCTGGGTGGAGAAACATTTCGGTCCTAACTTTCTGGAGCAGGTCATCCTGACCAGAGACAAAACCCTGATTGCTGGTGACCTCCTCATAGACGACAAGCCTGACATTCAGGGTGAGAAGTTTTTCTTCTGTGACATCCTGATGACTCTACAGTATTTTTCATGCTTTATATTAGATAAACATAAGCTGAGTCATTAGAACAGCAGTGAGCTTTTATGTACCAAGGGAAAAAAGTGATCCTAACTGACCTGTGCAAAAGTAACCTTAAATCATTAATTAGGATAAATTTATTTGGAAAAAAGTTTTTAAATCTGTTGGCTACACCCAGGGCTGAGGTATGCTGCACCTGCAAACTAAATGGGACACAAGGGTAACGGTTCCCAGCATTTACGTAGAGAGAGTTGATTTTAAAATATTTGTGAAGCAAATGAATCCTGCAGCTCAGTGTTACTAATGAAAGAATAAGGAGTGATCGGCGGTGAAAACTTTCTGGACCATTAAAACTCCTCTGAACTCTCTAAGGATGATGTCACTTCGAAATCCCACATCCTCCGCTCTGTCCCGCCTGTGCAAAGCAAAGCCTACAGCCTCTGCAGTTCCTCCCATCTCGCTCCGCTCCGAGTTCCTTGGAGCTTGAGGAAAGCATGCGGGATATTATTCTTTCTTAATTCATAGGAGCAATACGAGGTAATTAGCGCTTAATTTTATATGACATAATTACAACTCACCATCAGCATCCATCACATATGCAGTTTCTGCCCAAACGTTTTCTTTTGTTCTGCGTCTGTGATGGGGATAATTAGGATCATATAACGTTGGTTTGTTCTCTACTTCCAAACTCGGCATCTCTTCAACCCTGCGATAAAAAGTTTCTTTTGAAGTTGAGAGATTTGCTTTTGGAAGTTGTTGTGACTGGATTTGATGAAACTTTTAAGCCTCTCAGTATAAAATTAATATTTTCATCAAGATGAGAAATCTGCTTCCTGTTATGTTGAAGTACCAACAGTTTGCATCCAATAATTAAATTAAACTGCCTTATTTTTTGGGAATATAGAAGAATAATTCTCTAATTTACAGTTTGTTTAAAAACCGGATCTCTTTAATGTTTTTTTTTTTTTTGTTTGGTGCGTTTGCTATTGTGGATCTTGAACTGGCCGGCTTCCAACTGACCCGATCGGAGCAATAAATAGGTTGTCTCCGTATTTTGACGGAGAAGACGGAGTGGACGGTGAGGTTTGGAGGAGTAGCGGTGGATGTGGAACAGTTCTCATTGATTAACATGACTGCACAAGTGCGCCGTTTATTTTAGGGCTTAATAAACATCAAAACAAATAGGATTCCTTGTTTTTTTTTTTTTACCTGAGTGGAGCGTTCGCTCTAGATCAACCTGATCTGACTTTTTTAAGTCATGCTACAAACTCGAGCAGTAACGTTTGTTTTTTGGGGGTTTATTGTGACAAACAAACACAAAGAATTTGGCAGATCAACCTTTTCCTCCAAGAAGCCATTTCCTCTCCCGGGCCTTTACCGTTGTTTAGCTGCAACCAGCTTCCAGTCTGCACTGACAGGACTCCCAGAACACCATGCACACAGCATGATGCTGCCTCCACCGTGTGTCTCTCTGTGGATAGCAGGCTGTCTGGTTTTAGGTTGATTATTCATTAATGTTCACTAACGAACCTCTGATGGATTCACAGAGCAGCTTGAGTTCTGCTGAGATGAAAGGTGAACCTTTAATCTGCTGTGATGTTAAATCCTGATAAAATCAGTTAAAGTTATTTGCTCTCTAACAGTATAAAAACTTCAAAGTATGTTCAGTGTAATTATCTGGAAGCATCATCAACATTGAACGATTTTATTCTTTAAAAACTGCATGAATTATGCTTCTTCCAGCTGTTCATCTGGAACCATGTTCCAACCTTCAGAGTTTTCCTTGTAGTTAAACATGAGTCTGTGGTGACTGTATTATGTCCATGTCTCCCAACCAGGTGTGGAACCGAGACCAGTTTGGGAACACATCCTGTTCACTGCCTGCCACAACAAGCATCTGTCCGTCGTTCCCTCACAGAGACGCCTCCTGTCTTGGTTGGACGACTGGCGTGCCGTCCTGGACAGCAAAAGGCAGTGAGGGATCCTGATTCCCCCGCATCCTTTGCACGCTGGTAACCAGGACAACCAGAGGGTCATGGACGGCACGTCGTCTCACTGTTAAAGTTGCGTCAGGATGAATGGATCAACCTTTCCTGGAAAAAAAGAAAAAAAAAAAACTAAAGTGTGCTGCAGGCTTGAGAGAAAAAGTTCCCTATTTTTACCACTAGATGGCAGTGTGACACAGGCTGAGAAGATACTGACTGCTACACTTCCACTAAGCAAAAACTGAATAATTGCATGTCGGTTTTAATGACAGCCTTTTTGTTCCTACATTTAGACCTTTCCACATAGAATCCGTCCCGTTTTATTTTTAGACTGGAGTAAAGGTTTATTCATAGCATCATTACAAAAAGGCCAGTTGCATAAATGCGTCTGAACTGTGATTCACCCACAAACATCAGGGCTCATCACACAGGAAAGTGAACAAAAATAGCCTCCCAGACCTGGGATAGTGCGAGTCGGTGCACAAGACTAAGTGTTGCTAATTTCACATCCACCTGATTGAAACACGCCCGTAACTCAGAGAGGTTTACACCCAGTCTATAGCGGCACCAATGTTTTACTTTTAATGTTGCACCTAAATATGACTGAATATAAATATTTTAAATGTAGAGCACAATGGAGCTAATTTGTCTTTGGCATGCTCCATTAATAAAGTCTTTAAAAAGTACTTATCTGGATGAGTTTGGCTCTAATTTATCAGCCCAATTCTGGGCTCCTTGATCCAAACCAAGGCTGATTTTAAAAAAACAACTTGGAATAAGAGGCTGCCGACATTAAAAGGAGACTAATATTAAAGGTATGGTGGTGGCAGCAGTATGCTGAGGGATCATATGAAGGTGGACTGTCCTCACATGTTTTGGTTTGAATCAACTTAATCTTCAGCTTTAAAAGGTGACGGCTGTTTGACCAGACGGTCTTGGGACTGAATGGATGTAATTGAGCTGCTGTTATTTAAAGGAAATCCACATTTAGTGGAGGATGTAATGCCCCAGCATCCTGACGTTAAGGAACCATTTAAATCTCTCCATAAAAGAACGTTATATTTAAGAAAAACCTTTAAGTAACCCCCCCCCTACCTGAAAGTGCAGAAGTTCAATTTTTTTTTATGCAGTTAAAACAACGACTTTGGTGCTCTTATTTTTCTTGTGATTCGTTAGCATTTTCACAAAGATCTATGCATCTCACTTCTCATTCTAAGGGAAACCTACAAGCAATCGCATGTTGCCAAAAAAACAAGTTCAGAACAGAAATAGTCACTTTAAACTTGTTGCTTGAAATGTTTTCCTATTTTGAATGATTAAATATAAGAAAATATCTATATATCCCGACATATCCTGTCTTATATGTTGTACTGTATGTAAAGTCCAGCCTGTTTACACCTAGTGTGAGAGTAGAGGAGGTCGTAGGGTTGAACCCTGAACTAACACCGGAGGGATGATGTTTTGAAGCAAGAATTGAATCCCAATATTTGAGAGGGAGTTTTTCTCTCACCTTGGCCACAAAAACGACACTAAGCTTTAGATTTTAGTGCGTTTGGAAGCAGCTGTTTGCTCTGCAGGGCCTCTTTATGACAGCTTGTGTTTTGGTGCCTGGTTAAAATCGTTTTTTTACGTTTGGTTTTACTGCTTTGTTTTCTAGACGTTAAAAGAATAAAAAATGCATAAACAGCCATCGGTTTCTGTCTATGAGAAAATCTATTGTGTCTCTTTGTTCTTTTCTGTTGTGACTTCAGGTTCATCTGTTAAAACAAGCCGATTAAGGCTCAGAGTTTTGACAGATGTTTTGGAAACTGCTCCCCCACCCCCAGAGTGTAACATCCCAGCATGGTGGGGTGGTGGGAGAGTTTGAAAATGATTTTCACACCTCTTTGTCCTTGTTGTCGTCTCCTCCCTCCGTGCATCAGATCAGTTAATAAACAGGATCTAATAAATTGGTTTGAACTGTTTTCCAAACTGTTTCCACTTTATTATTCCAGCAGGAGAGATTTTGCTGTGAGTGAAAAAACTCCTGAAGTTTTGTAGTTGTTTGTGTTTTTTTGCTATAAGATTGTTTTATTCTAAAACAGTCACTTCATATGAAAAATAAATAGTTAAACAAAATATCGCTCAGTGACTCTAGGAAGTTTAAACATGGAGGACTTTCAGTCATTTCAAGGTCTTTATAAGTATGAAAAAAATCAAAATTTCCAGTCATGGTGTCAGAAAGTCGTTCTTCCTTCTCTACTACCTTCCTTTCCTCTGTTCATCATTTGCCCTTATTTCATCTCCTCTGTTCTTCTTATTTGTGTTTTTTTTTGCAAAATTCCTTCCAGGTGTGTTTCCTCTTTCTTTGTCTTTCTCAATACTTTTTTTTCCTTCTCTCTTTCCCTCCTTGTTCCCTTCCTTTCCTCCTTATATATTTCTTTCATTTCCATTTTTATGTCCTTCCTTTTCCCTCTTCACCCTTGTTCTCCTTTTGCTATCATCTTCTTTTCCTGCACCATTTCCTATCATAATTATTTCCTTACCTTAATTACTTCTTTTCTTGCATCCTTTCTTCCTTGTGTTCCGCATTATTTTCCTCCCTTATGCCCTATCTTTCTTTTATGACCATTGTTCGTTCGTTCCTTCCTTCCTTCCTTCCTTCCTTCCTTCCTTCCTTCCTTCCTTCCTTCCTTCCTTCCTTCCTTCCTTCCTTCCTTCCTTCCTTCCTTCCTTCCTTCCTTCCTTCCTTCCTTCCTTCCTTCCTTCCTTCCTTCCTGTCAATCATTTCCTCTTCCTTACCTTCTTTCTTCATGTGATTCCTTTCCTTTCTTCCTCATGCACCTTTTTTCCATCCTTTCCTCTAGGGTTACCTGGAAATGTGGAGGATATAGTGACCCTCTAATATATTTATTTTCCAGCCAAAATAGAATAAAGTAAAATGCCATAGAGGAATAGCAGCCAAACCCAGCATGACTTTAGAACAGCCTTTACAAACAAGCTGATGTTTGCTTCATAGTCAAACTCAACTATTAAACATTTTTCTTATCAGAAACGACGGAACCATCTGAATTAATCGAAGTGCTTCAACAGTCGCTATGATAAGGGCCGTCGGTAAGGAAGGATCGATTAAAAAGGAAGCAGGATGGATTTGTATCTACAGTTCATTTAGTAATGACTTAATGTCTTAGCTGCTGCTAGGAGCTATACAGCTTCTCACAATCATTGATGGGATGATCAGGAGCAGCCCACCTCATGGAGTTTAACAAAAAAACATAATTTATACACATGTACTATCTGTGATACATGCTGCTGTATGCACCTTAGCTACATTTTGTAGTGTTGGGATTTAAGGAACAATCCTTGATAGCCACCTGAAGAACATTTCCAGGATTAAAGGATGAATGAATCAAAGAAACTCATTCATGTATTTATCTTTAGTAAAATTGATGGAACAGTGTCTTCACATGTTTGTCAAAAATGTCCATCAGCTGATCCAAAACTCTGCTGTCAGTGTTCTCACTAGAACTAAATAAGTAGAGCACATCAGCCCGGTTCTGAAGTCCTTCCACTGACTCCCTGTAGCTCAGAGAATAGACTTTAAAATCCCTCTGTTAATCTATAAATCAGTGAATGGATCAGCACCTCATAACAGATTTGTTGTCAGTGTATCAGCCTTCCACTCAGGTCTTCTAGTTCCAGCCTACTCTGTACACCCAGAACTAGAACCAAACATGTGGAAGCAGCATGTAGTTCCCATGCTCCACTGATCTGGAACAAGTCAGTAAAAAGTGCTGAAAGCCTGAGTTCCTTAAGTCAAAGTTAAATACCCATTGCTGCCTTTCAATGTTAAAGTTCATGGTCTAACAGTTTTGCTTTACTTCCTGCTTTTTACATTTTTTTATCATTATTTGCTTTTAATTATATTTTAATGTTTCATTAATGTAAAGCACTTTGAATCCTCTTTGTACTGAATCATGCTATAAATATAAACGTGTTTTGCCTTTCCTCACTCACTTTAAACATCCACTTATAATTTGCGGCTTTAAAAAAAAAAGACAGCTTAGAAAAACTTAAAGGATTTGGTTCTTAAAGAAGTCTAAAGTAAAAGAAAAAAAATATCAGTTTGCTGTAGGATTTAGTCCTTTTGTTAAAAAAAAATCCTTTACCATTAAGAGTTTCTTTGCTGAATATTTTTCTTCACGTTGAATTAATACGTGAAAGTGTGGATGGGGTTCAGTGGAAAAGCGTTTTTTACACCAGCACCCTACCTTTCAGCCTCCCATGACAAGTTTTCGCCCACATTGTTTTTCTTCCTTTACTGTGACTGTGTGCTTGACTACAAATAAAACGCATCATTCTGATCCAAGAGGAGAGGATTCAGCTAAATGTATGGCTGATTACCTCCTGCTGGTTTTCCTTAGATGGAAAACTTTTAACCAATATGATAGATTAGATTGAATTTTCTCTATAAAGCAGCTTGAGATGACATGTGCTATATATAGTATTTGTGCTAAATAAATAAACTCAATAGGGTTTCAACTTCTTTCATTGTTTTCAACAATACTTACGGTATATGGGTATTTTTGCACTTTCTTTTTTATTACATGATTCGGCAAACATTTTACTTTGACCTGTAGTTAATAAGTCACTTCATTTTGTTCCTAAAAATGGGACCGTTCCGTTTTTTTTAAGGGGCAGTTGTCCACCCTGGTCATCAACCCTTTGGACAGCTGTTTGTTTCACATTGGACTGTTGGAAAAGAAGTTCTTTAGAGGTTCACCAACTCTCAAATAATATCTGCATGTCTCTAATGAAAGTCCTTCCATCCTGTCTGTGACCTGAGCTTCCATGGCACACTTCCGAAGGTAGTTAACTGATCTAATGGATCAGCTATCCCTCGGCTGTTGAAAGCCTCTGAGGAGGAACCCGTCCGGTGCGTTCCAGTTCATCGCCTTCCAGCTCATCGCCCTCCAGCGTCATCTTCTTGTTGTTAAACTTAGGTTGAGTAACAGCAGACACTCAGTCATCCATTGATAAAAAAAAACTTCTTCAGCCTTTTTGCCTTTCATCTCATCAGAAAAACCTCTGCTTTTTTTTTTTTTAGCACGACTGGTCATTCTGTTCTAGAGCTGACAATAGAGGGAACAACATCAAATAAAATATTAGCAGAAACTGGGTCATTTACAGCATTGACTGTATTTGCTACTATCTTTAGAAAAAAAAGAAGAACTAAGCAGGATCGCAAGGAGGAGGGTGTGATATGTGAAAACTCAAGACAGCAACAAAACCCCTTAAAAACACCATTCCACCATTTAGATCAGGGGTTCGGTAACCTTTTTGAATCAGAGAGACATCCACATAATATATTTAAAGACCGAATTCAACTAAATGTGTGAATAATAAGCCTCTGAATTTATTCTTTTAAATATGTTATACGTAATACTCACCATTAACGTGACCTCTGTCGCTGCATGGATTTGCTGAACTGAGCTGCAACAAATGAATTGTCTGTTGACTCATCCAAAGCCAGGGAAAAGAACGGTGCTGCCTTTATGTTCTTCACTTGTGTTTCCTCCACTTGCTTTGCAATCATGATAGTACGATCATGAGCAGTTCTTCCTGACAGAGGCATGTCTTGTATCCATTTAAAAAAAAATCTTGTCTTTGTACTGAAGATCATGAACATTTTAGCAAACTTGGGATC